GCAACTTGACACGAGTGCGGATTTTGTCACAGCCTTTTCATTTGATTTTAGGAAGGCTTTTGACTCAGTCTCCCATCGCGCTCTGTGCAAACAAGATGATGTCGTATGACATTAAAAACTGGATAATTAGCTTCCTGTGTGATCGCTGACAGAGCGTCAGGGGTTGATGGAGTGGTTACCAGTTCCCTCAAGAACAATAGAGGGGTTCCCCAAGAGACTGTGCTTGGACCCTTATTGTTGTCTTTCATGGTTAAATGACATCAAACCTATAATCCCCCAAACCCTACTGATCAAATATGATATCACAATTGGCCTCAATCGCACTGATTCATCACATCAGGAAGTAGCAACATCAAAGTTTGGACTGATGATAATCAGATGAAGCCGAACATGAAAAAGACCTTTGAGATGGTTGTTAGAGGCAAAACCAGGATGCCCCTCCCAAAGTCCATGGATGGAATAGCTAGGAGTTAACTAAAGCTGTTTGGAGTTACAGTAAGTGGAGATCCATGTAATTGGGACGCTTAATTCGAAAATATGCTTAGTAAAGCGAGTTCTAGATTGTACATCCTTAGAGTTTGTAAATACTATGGCTACTCACTAAAAGAGCCTACACTGCAATTTGACAGCCTTAGAATGCCACTTTTCACCTTTGCGATTGAGGTGTGGGCTTGTGCCCACTATAGTAAATATCTCTTCCAAATTGATAGGTTTTGTAAGCGGGCTCCACCTTATGGATATACCAGCAAATATACACTCATAACCGATTTAATTAGAATAAAAGGTAGGCTAGTATGGGAGAAGATAACTACTGATAGTATTCATCCCCTTCATACACTGCTTCCACCCCGAAGAACAAGGAGCCGTAGGAAAAGGTGACACCGTATATCCTGCCACGTGTCAGAACTGAACATCATAAACGCTGTTTTGTGAACAGATACCTTTTCAATTTTATCTAATTGTTATTGTTATTGTAAATAGTTTGTAATTAGGTTTTTTTTTAATTGTAAGTCCAGACGTATGACTCTGGGCATGTTTCTTTTGGTATTTATAATTATAACTATTCATGAATAAACAATTTCACTACTTTATGCCGTCGTCGTTTGTTACTCTTTGTTGCGTCTTAATGCGGTTTTGCAATCATGTTATGATCTATTAATTTCAATATATGAAAATCACATGTGTATTGCGGTTTAATAAATGTTTGAAAACGATCCTCGAACTGATAAACACTACTTATGTAGTAGTACCAACTGAGCTAACAAGCCAGCTGGGAGCTTCACGGGTTTAATACGAACCAACTTTATGACCAGCTTCTAGTTGGCTTGTTAGCTCAGTTGGTACCACTACATAAGTAGTGTTTATTACTGCGAGGATGGTTTTCATACATTTAAAACCGCAGCATCGCATGGTTTCAAATCCCGTTCGGACTTGATACTTTTTTATTTCAGGTCTTATTTTCACAATACATAAGTAGTGTTCATCAAGCAAGGATCGCTTTCATGCATATCTTATGACCTTTGAAACAATAACCATAAAGCATCGTTTGTAACTGGAACATCTTTGTTTGCTCCTTCGCTTTTTTTTTTTTTTTCGCGGAACGCTAACTTCGGTGACATAAAAAAAAAGATGGAATCGAAACTTGTAAAAATTAAAGACATGAGAATATATTACTAAGCTATCCAGGTAAATGGTGTTAAGGTTAAAAACCGTAACTAACTGGGCCTAAGCCAATCACTCGTATAAAAAAGAACCGCTTTTGTTGATCACAATTCTCACCTTATGTCGGGTTTCCATGTCCTTAAGCTGATTTTTTAATTCAGTGAATGTTGGTCTTGCATCCGGGTCATTTTTCCAGCATTTCATCATGATCTGATACCTGGTATATTTCAAATGATCTGTTAAAGACTTAAAGAACTTTTTCTTGTCCGATGAGAAAGAATGAGTTGAAAAAGAAAACTTACAATTTTTCATCGACGTGTTGTGGTCTAGGCATCCTGTATCCCTCCTGATGTAAGTTTGCAATTTTTCTTTCAACCATTCTTGCGTAAGGTGAACCGCCTGGAAGAACCACATAACCATCGAATAATGGTTGTACCGCTGTAACACTACCCTGTGTCACAAAGGTTGCATAGGGAAGCTCATTGCGCTTGTCCCACTGAACAGACAGCATTGTTTAATGAAATATATTAAAGAGCAAAAAACATTTGTTAATTAAATATAGTAATGAGCAAATACATCTACAGAGTCTCATAAACTTCCATTCGATAATACCTATGGTGAAAATCTCGTAAAGCACAACTCGATAACTCCATCTGCGGAAAGACAAATCAAACGAATATGAATTAAGTGAATGAAGACATTGACGGTATATACGACAACGAAGATATATTCTTTCACAAAGCATAAGCATGCTGGGTAATTATCACTTATACTTACACATCACTTTTGGTGGTATACTTTCCGTACAACAAGGCCTCATAAGCAGTCCACTTCACGGGAAGACGACCCTAAATATTTCAAATATCACTTTGTGAAAAGCTCAAAAAGTAAAGGAAGCAACTAGCCAAAGACAGTTTTATTTCAAGTTATACTTGTATAAGTTTTCGTTAGAGTCCCATCCAAGGACCTCGTGATCGAAACCTGGAATATATCAGCTATACCACAACAATGATTATGAAGGATAATAAGATGGAACGATATGTAAATGAGTAGGCCCGCCCCCATCTCCTCTCCTTCTTGATTACCTTAGTCTTTCGTTTATAAATATTTTCCTCCTGCACATCTCTGGCCATTCCAAAGTCTGTTACTTTGCACGTTTCCTTTTGTCCAACCAACACATTATGCGCTGCGAGGTATCGATGGATGATCTAAGAAAGAATTGATGCCTCAGCAAAAATTTGTGAATGCAGAAGAAAAGAACTGCACTGAATCGGCTCAGATAGGAAAAGAAGGAATTTCTAGCAAATACAATATGGTGTACGTATTTCATAGAATGCTCATATTAAGATTTTAATGGAAATAGAATTCTGTAATATGGCAGTTTTTGAGACCAACAAGAGATTTTGCAAATGTCAAGTCTTGATTTCTTTTATTCCTTGACACTTAAATGGCTATTTGTTGTGCTTTCATTTTAGGCTAAATATCTTAAAAGATCTTTTCCATTCCCGTCTCCACCTTTGCCTACACAAAAGAAACCCACATATTTCCATTTGATGGGGTGTTCTGGGAACGATGCAAAAAAATCGCCATTTACACATTAGAATAAAACTAAGATTATAGCATTAAAATTGGGAGGGTCCCCTTAAAGAAAATTAAAGCTTTTACTAAACGGTCAGAATAAGTTTGCCTTATCCGGCCTTGATTTTGTAGAGACATGATATTAGGGAGCTTTAGCAACGACGACGGCGACGGCAACGAGAACGGCAGAAAACAATAGGCTTAAGGAGCAAAAACAATCGCCCTGCACGTGCGTTTAACATTTTGGTACATTTCTTTGCCGTCCTCGGCAAAACAACAACGTGAAATAACCAAACTTTAGGTTTTCTCGAGAACGTGAGCGCGTGACGGTTAATTTTTCTTTCTTTCTCTTTACTTTAACGCCGTTCGTAGTGATATAGTCCCTGAATAGTTCGCCAGCATTTTCCAAGTGAAACACATCGGAATAACCTCGAAAGAGTTACAAAAACGAAAATTTAGATTCCGACACGACGTTTTCGTTGCCGTCGCCGCCGCCGTTGCTAAAGCTCCCTATTCTATGAAGGACAGAGCTTAACTTCGCGATACACCTAACAAACAACGATCCCGAATTAAGATTTTTTCCTTTGTGTTTTTTAATAACATACAGATTTTGAGGACAAATAACTCATTCCATCTGCTATTTGCCAGGCAAACTTCATTAGCTGCTGTGACGTCAGATTTTTTTGTAGTTTGATATTTGGGTCTTTGTAGTATGTGTCCTTTAATCCACGGCTCTTTCTCAGGTAACCCAGCAGATCCCCAAAAGGCGCATATTCAATCAAAAGCAGCATAGGCTCTGAAGAGATTTAACAAACAATACGATAAACTCCTCTCTAAAAAAAAAATAAAAAACAAAAGAACTTGAGAAATTAATAATCCAGTCATTGCCAGTACTTATAAACTAATCTTAAAAAAACAAAATGTAGTTTTAAAAAGAAAATCCGGAAGACCAAATATTTCCCTATAAAACACGTTTTTGCCTATACAGCAAAATGGTCGGGTCCGTAGCAAATATTCGGTCTTAGACAATCATTATGTCCAGGAGCGTCTATATTGACTTAAAAAGAAAAAAAAAATAACCAGACACTGTTGTAAAGTAAATCAACAGGAAATTGTGTACAGAAAAATTAGACCCGCATAACCAAAGCATACCAGACTCCGTAACACAACCCAGAAGTTTAATGGCGTAAGGATGTGGTTTCAGATGCTTCATTGTTTGAAGTTCTTTAATCAAATCTCTCTTTTCTGATTCAGCAACGTTAGCTGGAGGGTTAAAAACAAGGAAAGAATTTGGTCAATGGGAATAATATGCGAAAAATCGAAATGACAACATAAGTTATGAAATGGCAAATAGCTAAAAAATTTCGGTAACACGGCAACATTTCCTGAATGACTGTATGCCAAGACGCTCATTCAATTTACAATACAAGAGCTCACATTTAAGCATCTTAATAGCCACTGTGGTCGTTTCAGGCCTCCCACGAAGTCCTACTGCTGTTCCCTTGGCAACCTGACCAAAAGCACCATTACCAATGATTTTTTCTAAGGTCACGTTATGTCTTGGAACTTCCCAAGAGCTTGTTAATGGATGAAGAGGTGCGTAATCAGCTAGTGGAGCGGCACTTTGTACCTTTCTTTTATCTCTGCTGACTTCTTTTAGATCCATATATTTTGCAGGAGGCTGTCCGAGTTTTCCTGAATCGAGCTGACTTGGTATGCTATCTTCTAATCCTATTTCATTCTATTAAACCAACATACCCGTTAACGTAATCACAGATAAATCTGTGATCAATCTCAGTAAAAAGTCATACCTGGCTACAAAATAAAACAATTTACCCATTTCCATCATTTAGATAAACAGTTTATATCCTCTTGTCTTTTATTATTGCAAAAAGAATACTTAGGGCCTGTTTAGATGGAGGTGGGAAAACCAGGTTGTTGACGTAACTCTCCTGTCCATACAATCTCTTAAGTTATCTTCATCGCGTCTACACAATAGGTGGGGTGACCCACCTAGGCGGGTTTCCCGGTCTTCTTAGCACGAAAACCTCGACAGCATTTAAGTCACGCTTTTACTTTGAACTCAACACTACATTTACCTGTAGTGTTGAAGTGAAGACATTGTACAGTTAGAAACAGTTGACGCATCGAGCTACTAGCAAAAATCTTAGAGGGGGAAAAAAAGCTCCGTTTTTTTCGGCAATGTGTTACCACACGTCGCCGTAGTGAAATCTTAAACTCCCTAACTACAGTCGCTACAACAGCCTCGAGAAACCTCACCCGGAATGCCGACGGCACTGTAAGGTTGTATGCAAACGCGTGCTATTTTTCGATTACGGCTTGGCAGGTTACCTCACCTAGCTGGGGTACTTCACCTCCCTGAAATCAAGCCCTAATAACTTGTTCTCTGCCATCCAAATAACTTTCGTGTCCACTGGAGTGGCATATTCGCCGAAGCTACTAATTGCATCGAGGGATCGTCTATCTCTATTGCAGTTCTTTGAATAATACACAGGAGGAAAAATACTTGACGCACTCAGCTCCCTTCCCACATCAGAAAATAAGGCTTTGAGAAAATAAGACGACAAAATGAGCGCGAAGATAATTATTTAGAAAGCAAATATTTACAGAGCTGTCAGCCATCTATGAAATGAACCAGGGAAAATCGATCACAGACTCATGGAGTGGCTTGGTAAAGGACCTGATCCTAGACCAAAGACTCTATCGAGTCCAGCTTCTTCCCCTATTTCATTGTATCTGCCACCAATGCAAAATGCGTCTTTAAGTATTTTTAAGTTCCTCCTCTTTTTCTATTTATTGCTAACCGCCTTTCGGTTAGCTCAATGAGTAGAGCGCTGGACTGTTGTGCNTTAATGAAGTAATCGATTCATACAACATTTTTATTGAACGTGGTCGATATACTGCTCTTATTACATGGCTTCAGCTTGTGACCGTAAAAACGTTAACTCTGATTGGCTAGGTACTAGGGAAAAGTAAGGCGTTACACTAACCATAAAATTTTTAAAACAAGATTTTGTTTAATTGAACCCAAACAGAAACATCGTCAACAACAACAACTTACTACTGAGATATTCATTTCTCACAGAAATGAGTAGATTAACAAAATAGATGTAGAATAAAATAAGAAAAGTCCATTTTTGGAACAATACTTGTAAACCTCTCACTCAATAAATTAAAATATTTACTTTTTGTTGTGCTTTCCGAGCCTTCTGAGGGTATTAGAACTTGTTTAATTGAGTCTGGATCGACTTTAAAAACTCCAAATTGGTCTTGCCTTACAGCATCCGACAGGAGAGTCAAAACGTTTCTTACGACAACAGTTTGATTGAACCTCATCATGATGCTAAGAACAACACTGCCACACCTACATAAAGGGGGAGGGGAAAGAGTGCTACTACACTTTTAACATACTTGTACTTTGATGACTTTTAAGAGTTAAGATACATTAAGATTTAAACTAAGAAGTCAACTTGATGTATTCAACCAAGCTAGATAAAATTAATTTGATGTCATTCTTTGTCTATTTATTGCTATTTATATACAAAATGTTCGTGGAATGTCGATTGTTTTGCATTAACTAAGACGTGTTAGAGCATGAAAACCAGTTTAAGTATTGTAATATGTCAATTTAGGCTCAAGTTCCCCCCAGAACACAAAATGTTCGTAAGCTTTTGTTGGTTCAATTTAAGCGTCTCCTTGAAGCACTTGGCTATGGAATGCCAGTTTGGAAAAGCTGTGACAACCGAGCTACTTCGTGACAGATTAGTTTCGGGCATTCAACTCAACGTTTATTGTAATCAGACATGACATGACACTTAACATAATGACGCACTACCCACAAATAGCAGAGCTAGTCTCGGCGGGCAGTGTGTGGACGCTGAGACATCTTAGATAAATTTCGGCTCAACGATGATTACTGAGTTATTGGAAGTGTTTGTCAATAGAACAAGCTAGTATTGATGTTCAAGAGCTCTAAGGAGAACAATAGCCAGACACATCAGTAAATAGACTCGACTCTGTCAAGGTTTTGAAGGACCAAGCTCCACCCAAGTCGTCAAAACAGGCTTAAGGTTCCCGAGGTAAGGACACAAGACAGCCAAGCCTTGTTAAGAACTGAGGTACAGGATAACGTAACTCTTAAAATGCCCGTTTATCAAAGAGCGCCATCACCACTGTGACATTATTGGACACACACAGCAGTTACGTACGAAGGAGTGACTGACGCAAGGGTTTAAGTCATGGAGGGCGGTGACTCCGAAGAAAGTTATGGAGAAATCGGGGACCTTAACAATATCTATGATGTGAAGGTATAGTCTGATCGTCCGGGTGAGTGTAGTCCTGAGAAGGACTGTTGTCGGTGGCAGTGACTGACGTTTCGACAACCTGTGCGGAAGTCATCATCAGAGTCAAGTAAGAAAATAAGAAACCCATTACTCTGCTGTGTCAGTTATAGGTGAAGGAGTGTATGAAAATAACCTGCGTCATGTTACCTTGAAGGACACACCCTTGAATCTGTGTACCTGGACAGGCGAGTATGTAAAACCTATTGGGTTTTGCAATGTAACTGTTTTTTTATGAGATGATGGGGCCCACCCTCTTTGGCCGAGAATAGTTAGAGTCTATTCAGGCGGATAGGCCCTGATTTCAGTGTTACTGATTGTAACTGGTTTCTGGCAGTTACGAAGAAATGTTTTGGTATAGCCATTTTCCTTTAAGACATCGAATACATATTTCTCTCCTCAACCTTAGAATCAAGTGAAGACGAACATGCTATTGTTTTCTCTGAAGATTTTGCAAGATGCAGAATATTCGAGCACATATTCAGCTAAAACAAGTAGCTCGGCTTCGATTGTAAAGAGCCCCCCTCCTGTTTGAGCGCATGGGACTTCCTGATCAGATTGCACCCGACAATGGAACTCAGTTCACATCGGAAACTTTTAGGAAGTTTTCAACTGCTAATGGTATTAAGCATGTCACCGGCTCGCCCCATCACCCCTTAACAAATGGTCAGGCGGAGAGACTAGTACAGAGTTTCAAGAAACGAATAGAGGCTGACAAGTCTGGGAGCCTCTCCGACACAAACTTGATAGGTTCCTGCTAGCATCTCGATCAGCTACACAAGCAACAACTGATCTCAGTCCTGCGCTCCTATTCCCAGGACGAAATGTCAAGGCCGTTTCCACTCGGTTTGTGAGAAAAAGTATTGAGTTCCCGGATGATAACAACGGCGTGCAAAACACACTGGATGAGCCTGGCTCTTTAACGTTTTTTCTCCAATTAATATCAGATAGAGAAATTTCAATTGAGTGTCGAAAAACCGAAACCAAAATAATCCCAACTTCCAATAAAACAAAACTTAATATCGTCATTAACCATTGAGGACTCCAAGTAAAATCAGGCAACCTACCTGAGGCGCGGGATATCGCCAATAATCAATTGGACTTAGTTCTATTTTTGCATTTGATTGGTTTAGATGAAGTCACAAGTTTTCGGAACCAATCACAGAGCGCAGAAAAGCAAACTCGGAGCAACCCAGGGTCACTTTCGATGCTCAATTGAAAACTGCTCTAAATGCAAATTATATTGAAACCTCAAACTAATTTTCAAATACTTTATGGTGACGCTGTTATCAAGTAAAGTTGACGGTGGGGGTTTCAACAATCAAACTTTTAAAAGGAAAGTAGTAAACAGAGAGTCTCTTTGTAAACTCTTAAATTCTACCTTATGCTGGTTTTCCATTTCTTTAAGTTCGTTTCTTAAATTCTCGAAAGATGGTCTCAAGTTAGGGTCGTCTTTCCAGCAGTTTGTCATTATGTCATACCTAAAAATCATACACGTCATGATTATCTAAATATGTCATTGCTCACTTCCCACCTTCGTGGATGTCGGCTCCGAAATATAAATTCGTTTGTGCGCTAGTTTCACCACAATCCTAGTAAATTATGCAATCAGACGAAAGCCTAATAAATACAGTTTAGGGAAAAAATATCATTTAGGCGAGTTTTCCTTTAAAGAAGCGTCAGAATCCGATAAGGCGTAAAACGACTGAAGATTCTTCTAATTAATTTATTTGGTATCCAATGTCGCAGCACAAGCAAAATGACGGCATAGTCTCATTTACAAGGCATCAATCAACAAAAGAAAAAGTAACGCATCGCAGACACGTTTTTTTATCCCGATCGCTTAGTGGAGTGTCGAGGAGGACGAGTGGACGACACAATAATGGGCAAAGTTGCCAAAGGCAAAGGAAAATCCCACCGACTGCTAAAATGTAAAACTGGAAAATCTACTGAGAAGCAAGACAACGAATCGACAGACAGCTTTCAAAATTACAAAACTAGGCGATTGTACATGTTTTTGTATCGAGGCTGGTACTTGGATAAACAAAAGCAAACCTCGTGTTAAACTTTATGCATGCCAAATTTTGGTATGAAGGCGACTTCTTTGTTCGAAACTGGAAGCCAGCATGGAGTGGAGTACCAGTGGCTTTCACCAAGGATTTTTTCTTTTCTTGACAGAACGGTACGTACCCTTCTTTTCTTCTTTGGGTCTGTTTTTTTTTTTTTACCTAAGGACTTTTTATTTTTCCATGAGCAAAGATTTTTTCCAACAGCAAAGGGCGTCCACGTGTGAATTTTGTTTAGTGCGTGATATGAATAAAATATGCAAAGAACATGGAAATGAGCGGTTGCCGCGAAAATTCTCCCACTGTATTCGCTCAGGTACGAGATTATGGCACCTTCCTGATTTATTAACTTTATTTGAAAATGATTTTTTCTAAATGAGTAGAAGCTTTTGCAGATTTTAATTTTTTTGTTCGGAAACGTTACGTAAAATGTTTGACTTCAATTCAGTCAAATAAAAGGAAAAACGACTTTAACACGTCATACGTGGCTTACGTTAGAGAGTCACTGTCGCAGAAATTGTTTGGTGTTTGTTTCTTTATGCAAAGAAAATTAAAGGAAAATGTAGATGATGATAAAAAAAATTTTTCAGCTATAAAATTTCATCGTTTTGAAATAAAAGGTAAAAGATAAAAGATATCGAACCACAGAGATCATTAAACTCGA